ATAAAATCAAATCAAATCAAACCAATTACTTGTGTCAAACTGATCCGAGTCGGTTTGATTTGATTAGTTTGATCGATTTTTTTATTTTTTCGACTAGGCCTAATATATGACGATAAGTTTCAATTTAAATTTATCATTTAACAAATTAATTTTGACCTGGTTCCATATCTTAGAATAAACCATATTATTAAAAAAAAAATTAATTTACGATTCGATTCAATTCTTTTGAAAGAACCATGTCCACCCTTAAATAAAGCCAAATTTAGCTAAAAGGGCACACTATCTATTGTCCCATTGTATTTGCTTACCTGGGCAGGAGATATATTACTTAGGTCTTATCACATCTAGACAGGTCCATCTGGTTCTGCCTAAAAACTTCTGTCATAAGTTGGGTTTGGTTAAAAATAAATAAATATTTATTTATTTATTTATTGTGAAATGTATCAAACAGGTCTTCAATATTTTTTGTCACGTTTGAATTTTCACATTTAACATGTTTTAGTACTTAAGTCCTTAATGGACGGTTTCATCGATTTAACTGTTAAAATGTTTCATGATAATTACATTAGCAAAATAGCAAAACTTTCATCGAAACTCCTCCTCCCTTCTCCATTAACCCTTTCGAGTTTCCTATCTTCCACAATAGTTTGGACTTGAATTTTTTTTCTCAATATTATCTGGAATGATTTCTCAAGGAAATTACTTAATGCACAAAATTTCTCGCTTAACACTCTTGAAAAGTATGTTTTAAAGGTCGATGGACGTAAATCATTGTTAAAGTCCCAAGTTTAGTAAACATGAAGTGTTAGGGACTAAGTTGTTATGCTTTGAATAAATTGGAGATCGCACATTTAATTCTTCAGAGATCTAACTAACCACCTCACAAATAAATATCTTGTTATCTGTTTTTTATTTACTCCTGTAACAATCCAACGTAGTAACTACAAATCAGGTTAATTTGCCCTCAGGGCACATCTCCAAGTGGTAAAAGGGAAGGGTGGAGAAATTCAGCTTTGCTTAAGGCTGCTGCGTCAAGGGTTCGAATCCTGAAATATGAATTTGGCTTTTGGGTAAGTGCAAGTGTACAAGCAGTCTTCCACCCTGTATCCTTGGAGGCATAACCTGCGATTTATCTCCCTCACGATGCTCCAGGGCAGGGGTGGTGGGGGACCCTTAAAGTTAGGGTTTAACTTTTTTTTTTTTTTTTTTTTTTTTTTTTACAAATCAGGTTAATTTTATTAATAATGCTATATATTTTACAGTTCGGTGTACAATCCCCCTCACATGGGGCGAGACCCACGCATTTATGGGTGTGGGCCCCTCCCCTAGTGTGACAAGGGGCATAATTCTAATTTTATTGATCATCGAGCTTTACACCCACATAATCTTGGCTATTGAACTTTAACTTATACGATTCATTAGTACATAAAAAGTTTCATGAATTCGTTAATTCAACTTGACTTCTATATTGAAAAATCACCATGTTCATGTGCCAAGTTATTTCACCTTTAGATTAGTTAAATTCTATGACTAGACACATGGACACGTAAATATTCATTTATAAAATGTATGTCAAACATAGTCGTGGTTTGAATGAAATATTTAACAAAACTCATAGACGAGTTTGAAATAAATTGAAATTTAGTACCCAAAGAGTCACTAAAGTGTAAAATTCAGTTGCCGATAGTAAAATTAACCCATCCAAGTCAATGGAATTTCATATAATTTTGTGGACGGTTATTGAGGGAGGGAAAGGTGCTGCCCACACTAGGTGCTACCGTGGTAGCAAGAGAGGTCAAGCGGTGACAATTGATAGATTGTCATAGAGCAATATTGGAATCGAATCATTCTCCAGTTGGACCGGTTGATACAATCTTGATCGTGGTGAGCAATAATTTGATTTGAACTTTTTCAGTTAAACATTATTTTTAAATTTTTAAGTAAATATAATGCTCATGTTTGATAGATTAAAATCAGATTTTTAGAATTGTCATTATATTCACACCAAGCCCCTGTTTGTGCTCCGTTATAATTAGTCTTTCGAAAAAAAAAAAAATATTTTGTAATAGTATTATGTTTAATTAAAAAAGAAGAATTTTTTTGAATTTACGTGAAATATTATTTTATTGAAAAATATGTGGTTGAAAAAGGAGAAAAAAATGCAGTTTAAAAATTAATGGAGTCCAAACAAAAGGCCTAACGTGTTTATTACGAAATTAAGAGAAAATAAAATAATATAAAAAATAAAGAGCATATTTCATTATAATAATTAATAATGACTCCATATGGGGTTCAATGACAGATAACCAGATTGCGATATAGTCGTTCAACATAATCCAATCGTTTTAAACACTATTGAAATTATCATTGGAGTCGCAATTCACTGTTCTTATATATCTATCAACTTTTGAAAAATTTAATTATATTCACATTATATTTTAATTACATCAAAGGTCATGACCTTTATTTATTGTCACTCTTATATCCTTAACTTTTTTTAGTTATATTTTTATTTTTAACATTTAATTGAGTAGACAATCTTCTTGTTAATCATGATTTTCTTCCAAAAATATTAAAGCGCTTTAAAATGAAGATGGAATATTGAGTGTGTTTTTGTATTATTATTTAGGTTGCTTATTCATAAATATAGTGGGTAAATCTCTATCTTGAAGAAAATTTTGGAAAGAAACCATAACCAGGAACAATTTATATTAATTTGAGAATAAGAATGCGATAAAAAAAGTTTAAGACATAAATGTGATAATGTATAAATGTTATAAACCTTTCATGCATTTGAAATATAGCCTTTTATAAAAAATTGTGGTGTGAGTATATTTAACCTTTAAAAAAAATAAGATATTATATTTTTAACCTTATATAAATTTACTTAAATAGACGAGAATAAAATCAATTATTGAAATAAATTTAATCTACATCATCCATTGATATTAATCCTCATTAAATGCTTTTTGACTTTTTATATTATTTTAGATTTTACATTTAACTAAAATTCGAATTTTGCTCCCATTTGACCCCCATTAATTTTCATTCCATTACATTTCATTTTTCTCTCTTATTTTCAATCACACAATCTTTCATAAAATAATATTACACGTAAATAAATAAAAAATTATTCTTTTTCAACCACTCATTTAAAATATATATATATATATATATATATATATATATATATATATATTCCAACAATTTTCATTTCCATAAAAAAGGGGCCAAAAAGGGGCTTTATAAAATATTTTCTTCAACTAAAGTCAATATGAACAATGAAAGAGATATTATTAGAGCAAAGACATACCTTTGGAACAATTTTAGATTGATTCAAATCAAGTTCTAAATATTAGCAATGCCACTATCTTTGAATTGAGGCTTACATATCTTTTGCAAATATGTCATCAATGCCACTATCTCCAGTAAAAAAAATCATCTATACATGTTTCATAGTAGAAAAATAGATATTGTTATTGTTCTATCTAGGATTTTCACGTACAATTTCTAATATATCAGTGTATAGAAACAATAGAGTTGTGTTGATGGTAAAATGTCTTATAGGTTATGGACATCTATAACTATTCATTATACTATCGTTAAAACCTACAATTTTCATTTCCATAAAAAAGGGGCCAAAAAGGGGCTTTATAAAATATTTTCTTCAACTAAAGTCAATATGAACAATGAAAGAGATATTATTAGAGCAAAGACATACCTTTGGAACAATTTTAGATTGATTCAAATCAAGTTCTAAATATTAGCAATGCCACTATCTTTGAATTGAGGCTTACATATCTTTTGCAAATATGTCATCAATGCCACTATCTCCAGTAAAAAAAATCATCTATACATGTTTCATAGTAGAAAAATAGATATTGTTATTGTTCTATCTAGGATTTTCACGTACAATTTCTAATATATCAGTGTATAGAAACAATAGAGTTGTGTTGATGGTAAAATGTCTTATAGGTTATGGACATCTATAACTATTCATTATACTATCGTTAAAACCTTACTAAAAAAAATCCCAACGAAAGAAAAATACGTTATTTATTGACCACACTATGAGGTTGTCTCAAAAAACCTCGTTTCAAAAATTTAATGGGACAAAACCTCGATCAAGAAAAAAGTACATGTATTTACTTACTATAGTATCACTTTAAATTTTTATATCAATTTCCCAAGTGTTACAATAGATAATTGTGAAACATTTTTGCCACATAATCATCATGATAACCACACATAAACAAATTACTGGTTATATCTTGCCACATGTTACTTTATTATTTGCTAGTTTAAAACACAGTCAACTTTTTCATCCAATTTTTTCCTTCCACATCATTTTATGTAACCCCTTATGTGTCATTTTTATGTACAAAAAGCATAATCCTTTCTAGTTTACGAATTTCATATAGACTACGTAACATCATGCATCATCATAACCAAATAAAGAGCAGCACAAATTGTTATTTTCCATTTACCTCAATTTTCAAAGAATAATTAAGAAATGGAAAGAAAATAGCAGATTGACAAGTTTATTTCCATGCAAGACGGGCCGGCCAACTCTGGATCATTTTTCACTAAAGCCTACATGATACTTTGCAGCCCAACGGCCCCGACAGGCCTGGCCCATTGAACTCATCTTTCCCTCTTTAAAGCAGTGTAGCAGATATGAAAATGAGTTGTTTCTACATATTACATTTTTCATAAACTCCCTGTTTCTTATCAATGCCTTCTATCAAGTTCAAAAATATAGCCAACTTCAATTTACCATGCTGATCCACCGCTTTACGAGCAGGAGAGTAATATTGACACGATAAAGAAAAATAAATAAAAATGCAGTAATACTGGATATAGTTCCTAGAGCTGCAGCATAAAGTACATACTGCAGAATTCAAAAGCTCAAGAATTCAAGATATCTCCCACAAAATTACGTGTCCGCGGGGAGAACATAAATAAATAAGTACCGATAATTACATACAAGCTCAGTCACATTCAAAGCAGACATCAAATTTTTACAATTATATAAAGAAAACATTCAAAAACCACAATCGTCTTTACAAAATTAGCAAACATTACTGTATGTTTTCCCTTACAAGGCTGGCCAAAAATGAAGACTGTACGTTCAACAACCCAAGGATATTCACCCAGTGAGACCAATAGATAAATGACAAACACCAGCTGAGCAATGATGTTTAAAAATGACCAACCATACCAAAAACTCTGAAATAATAGACAAAATATTCAACTCCGAAAGCATAACAAGGAAATAAACCGTCACAATGGAATTTCACAATAAGAAACATAAATTTACCCTACCTGTCCTCCTGTTTAATGCCAGTAAATAAAATATGACTAAAATATAGAAATGCATCGATTATTTTCCAAAATACCCTTTTCAATGACTAGCATGAAGGCCCAAAATGCAAGAATGTAAAATGCATTACCCATTGAGTTTAGAAGCATAACATGCAGGTTCAAATCCAAGCAGAGATTTGACATACAAAATGAGACTGCAGAACAACTATTTCTAAAGCCATCACTGAACAAACAGTAGAAACGTTACTCTGATTAAGTTGTCATATGCAACTAAGCTAACAACAAATTATAAAAGAATGAGGCAAGTATACGATTTTCTTCTCAGGCATGATTCAGAGTTTTTGATATGGTCAGTAGGTCATTTCAGATATAAAAGCTCCAAAAAGGTGGTTGTTCACAATCCCAGGTCTCACCATGTAAACCGTAATTAACTAAGTTCAAAATTAAAGAGAACAAGAATCCTACTGAATGTCAAGCGAAGGCCATGTAAAAGAAGTTAACACCCTCACCTTCCAACCTGGAAAAAGGAGAGTAAAAGGGAATAAACAAGAACAATCAGAAATGATGTAAAGGAGAATATGGCAGTTAACTGAAGTGTAAGTGCTTGGCGATTTTATCAGTTAAGAAATATCAAATATCTGGAAAACAATCTTACTGTTTTAATGGAGGCATCAACAATTAGATCCCTCCACCAGCCTTGCCTGCAATAGCTGGTTTCTGAAGTTTGCAAAAATAAATCAATACAGACAAAGAATGAATAGAATAATATTATCATCTGGAACCTAAAATGAGGGGTTTACAATAACTTACGAATTCTGTGTTTCCATTATCATTTGCCCCTGACAGGGGACCAGAATGTGGATGTGAGAACCTGCAAAATAATGTTGACTAACTGAATTGCATGCTAAAACTGCCTCAGACTTTGGTTATATGGAAATATGTGTCATTTTGCAATTACATTCCCCCAATAAGATCTAAGGATGAAAGGAAGATGTGGCATTGTTGAAAACCTGATTGCTCTTGCTTTCTTCTTGTCATCCTCCGTTGAATCGACCTTGGCAACCGATCCAAACCTTGCAAGCCTAGCCTTCTTCCTTGCTTCCTCGTCAACAGGTGTAGACTGGACAATCCCAAATCTGAGAAGTTGGTCGAAGTGTCAAACAAAGAAATCCAGTGAAAATCACAAGTCTTGAAACACACGATGGGCAAGGCTATAAAATACCTCTCTGCTCTAGCCTTCCTCTTCAGCTCCTCTGGTTGCTTTGATGATTCTGATCCTTGTGTGGTGGACCCAATTCCAAACCTGCAATAAAACCAGTGTAATTGAATAGGTGCTCGATAAACAAGACATCGTAGTCCCCATACCTGTTCCAAAGTATACAGCAGAAATTATAATAAATGCAGAGTGAATGCAACATGTCAAGTAGAAGGAATCTTGTAATAAAACTGTGAGCATCCTGTAACTGAAAATAACAGAGACAGAGTCACCATTAATTAAGCTATCCATTAGCTTTGGAGTTTGAAACACATAGCCATAGGTGGTTTCATGCTAAAGTAATATGAGATTAGTACTTGATGGTCACATGGAATACACAGCACAGTGATCTATTTGTTTGGTTTGAGGGGATGGGATTTGGGAATAGAAGGAAAATTAGGAGGGAAATAGAAGGGAACCAATATATTACACAAAGAAGAAAGAATGTGTTGTACAACTTGAGCATCTCTGACATAGGTGTTAAGGGTAGAATTTTGTTCACATATTAGATCTAGGAATTTAATCATATTAAGAGCAATTTTTGTTTTTCTTCTAGACAAATATTGAGATTTATTGCTTTCATTGCTTGAACGTGATTGGTTTCTAGATCACTTCCGGCTTTAGGCCTTTTATTTGTTAGTACTGGTAAAGCCCCCAAGCGGCGTATTTTTGTGAAACAGAGATCCCCCCTCAATCCATCACCTCTTCCCCATTTAATCAATCACAAAGTTGAAAATTCTCCATTCCCTTCTAGTCTATTTTCCCTCTACTACACTCAAATCACACAGAGCCTAAGAGAGTTCAGTTGTTAATTATATAATCCATGGGCACAAGTAAACATACATATATAATGCTGCAAAACTGAAAGAAAGGAAGAAGAGATCATAGCTGAGACCCACTGAAGAAGTAATAACACCAAAAGGCAACCAAAACAACCAACCAACCACGCATCACAGCTCAAAATTTGATATTTTCTCAACCCTTCCGCATTAAAACTGAAAG